TGAATTCGTAATTTGAACAACGCATTTACAATAACTAATGATATTATCGTACGTAATGTATTGAGTAACATAGGAACTCGTATAGGAATCATGTCTGTTTGATATCTCAGCATTCTAACTTCCACCATAAAAACGTCACTCGCGCTTGCTCGTTTCCTCCACGTGCTCCATTCGACCTGACGTTTCGCGAACGGCATGGAACAACGAAAGTGACGCAAGAATCAGAACTAGACGCCCCCTCCCCCTTCCCGAGTTACGGGGGCCATGAACATTTAGTATCTGGATTAGTTTCACAAAGTCCGCTTTTGAGATGTCGACCTATTGGCCCATATGAATAAAAGTAAGCAAATGCTTATACTTGCAAAATTCAAAGTAAATACTCGTAACTGCCCCTTCATACTGGTCTGTTTAGCATGGTTTAGCAGCGCTGCACTGCGTCCTGTCCTTCTGCTTAGAAGCGCTGCTAAGTCGCCCAGTGCGAAGGAGCACTTACGAGTATTTACTTTGAATTTTGCAAGTATAAGCATTTGCTTACTTTTATTCATACGGGCCATCATTTGGTGGTGACCGTATCAAGGCTACCTCCTACTTGGATTATAGAGTGCTCAGTTCAAATCGAGGTTCAAAAGTTGTTTTTTTTAATTGTAATGTTGCTAAATGTAAACTTAATAACCCCAGGACATCTCAGATAGATTAATTCGCATAACCTCTAAAATGTAAGTGGTAGATAAACAATTACCAGTCCCCCTTCATCACAATGTCATGCAATTTTGTAATAGAAAAACCAAGAGGAAAACATCGTTTTCTCTAAAAAAAAAACCTAGTAAAACAGGCATTAACATTCCTAAAGTGACCAGAAAAATTCCATAACTTACTGGCCAAGGAAAGAACTTCACATGCAACATGTGAGACCTGAATTGGAAGTGCAACTCCAGACATACAATAGCTAACAATTACTTCCCACACTTTTTAAATAAGTTAATGAAATTAATTGTAGATTACAGTACTAAAGTACTTACGAGGTCATGTTCAGAAGTGGCAAACCCGGTAGGTACACTACTTATTTAAGAAAATATGATAAATAATGCTAAATAAGTAAATTAATAAGCCGCACGTTGCGCTGTCAAGACCACTCCCGTGATTGCCTAAATGTATTTCTCCTCGTGTCTTTTACATGAGAACTTCAGAAAGATTTTTCTCGCTATTTTTAAAGAGACCTACCTATAAGACCATGTCAAAAATACAGACCGGTTTGTAAAAGTGTGTACAGATGTTCAGGATCTCGTTCAGGATGTAACAAAATTGGGAAGTAGAACACATCAGGTTTTTGGGTTATTTCCACCAAGGTTATTTCGATATGGTTCTAAAACTCGTTCGAAAAATCTTACCGCCCTAAACGATACTGCAAATATCTTGACGAAATTTGTAGGAAGATTTTGATTGTTGCTAAGAGGACTGCTTCTAGGAAAATATCTCAAATTCCTTTTCTAAAAAATGTATAAGTTAATTCAAAAATCTGGAATTTTCAAGAAAGTCTTTCTAAAAAATTTGTAAAAATATTTCTGGGTTATTTGCCTTACAAAGACTTTTTTGCAACAAAAATTCAAATCACGCATGAGATCGGTTAACTAAGATTGCATCGACTGTTCGTGCATGCGATTTTAACATTTCCACTCGCATTTCTATGTCCAGTAGCGACACGCTAGATGTAGAAGCTACAGGTTACTACTTTCTTATTTCTTATGGACGCCATATTGGATTTTTACAGAATGAGATAGAGGACAAAATCAGAAAAATAATGCCATGTCACATCACACTCTATACATAAATTTACTAGAAAAATTTCGTAAACAAAACATCCACACGTAATTAGATCTTGCTGAATTAACGTGGCAATGCATTCCAATGAATTTCTTTTTCGTCCTCATCTCATTCCGTAAAAGTCCGACATGGCGCCCATAAGAAATAAGCACGTACTAGCCTGTACCTTCTACATCTCGTTCTACATATAGCGTGTTATGGAAATTCTGTTAACAAATTCAGGTTCTCCGAAAAAAGTGCCCATAGAAGGTGCAACCGGGAACCGTCCATTTCCGACAGCTTAAGCTAGGAAAAATAAAAACGAAATTTGACATTTTCAGTTTTTTGGTGATATCTTAGTTATTTTCATACATTTTTCAAAATGCGTTTTCTCCGTTTTCTCAGTCATAAAAAGGGGCAAACTTTACACCGTTACAGAAATCTCAATGGGGAGCCACGAATTTAAACCACCCTGTAGATACTTACATACAGCCGGAAAAAATTGTATTCTTTAAAAGTTGTTTAAAATTATCTAAAACGTTGACATTAGATGAATTTTTGACATCTCGAAAAGACGATGATAGCAATAGTCATCTAGCTCAAGCGAAGCAGCTAGAATAATTCGACTGTGTACAAATTTTATTGCCGTCCTCCTCGAGGTTCTCGTTGTAGTCTAAACACCCATATTTTTTAATTTAATTCCAAGTTTAATTCGGTCTCTCTACGTTTACTTAAGGGAGTTTTAAAATTATTTCTACTAAAATAAAAATTTTATTGGCATTTTTTAAGGTATGGTATACGCAGATTTAATATCAATCGCAATATCACATACATATTTAGTCTCCAAACACCCCCTATAAATATGATTTTATATGCATATTTCGAGGCATATTTGTACATATTATTGCTAACTTCACAAGAGGTATGCTTAATCCGAGGCTTAATCTATTACTGGTTCGTTATCGCCTCGGTTATTGCTAGCTTCGCATCGGCAGAATTTAAGAAAATCTCTCCGAAAATCCCTTGGAAAATCTTAAGAAGAAAAGATAATATCGTGGAAAATATTCAAGCTGTTCTAAAAGTTCCATAGATTCTAGAAGTTCTAAAGATTTTTATATAGATTCTAAAAATATTAGCATAAAATTCCAAGATGATTTTTTTTTAAATTCGAGGTACCAGTTTCAAATTCAACACACACTTTCTAAAAGGATTCCAAAAAAATTGGAAAAGATTCTAAATATGGTCGTAAGATTTTACGAAGATTAGAAGATTCTAAGCAAATTCTAAGATCGAAAAGCAGTTTTGGAAAATTGTACTTATTTTCTAAAAAGATTCTCCGGATTCTAATTTTAAGGAGATTAAGAACGTTCTTAGAAGGTACTAAAAAGATTCTAAGACAATTCTGAAGATCTGAAGAATCTAAAGATTTTATGGTGATCCCGAGGGTGATCCCAAAAAGAGATTCCAAAAGGATTTTAAATTTTTTTTTGAAAAGTCGAAACAGAAGATTACTGAATTTGTTAACGGTTTTATGGAGGGTTTTATCATGAAAAATATTTGCGTGACTTTCGTCCGTTCACTAAAGGTCTCGCCAAAGGTTTGAGATCTCAGCACGGAGACTACATGGAAGTTACGATCTTTTAAGTTTTATTCCATAGGTTTTAACACGCACGGTGACGGTTGAGTGGGACAAAATTTGTATGGAATTATGTGCTTGGGGTTGTAGCATTTACGTTGCAATATAGAAACAACCACACATAATGCTATAAAGAAGTAGTCTCCAAGGATATGCAAGTAGGACTCCATGTGTACATAATTTTTGAAGTGCTATTTACGAGGCTATTTATAAGAGGTTTCAGACTTCTCGAACGTTTTTTATATGCAAATGCATGCAATGTGTGTTTATATATTATTTCAAATCAAATGGTGTTGATGAGGGCAAACAAATCCTTTTTTTTTTGTAAGATTGTTTGATGTAGCTCTTTAAATACAATAAGAATAGTAGGCATGTCGAAAAATATCGCGTGGCTCATTTGTGATAATGATAACCTGTGGGAGGCAATTTCACTCGTCATAGTGTTCAATACTCGGTTCAATATGACCATGTACTTCTTCTAGGGGGACAGACCTCGGCACATATTGATTAATGATTTTCATTTGCTTCTTCTTCTCACCCGATTTTAAAATCTTCCCTTCTGTGACACATTAAATTAAAGCTCGAGTTAAAGCTCTTGACAAATTCTACATGGTAGGTACTACAACAAATACTAGAAAAATTGACCGCAAAAGTGCCCAAAGTATCCACTTCTTCCAAACATCCGGAAATAACCATTCGTAAGTAAACTACCCTTAAAAAACTGGAAATATGTAGTTGTATCTCCAGTTTTATTTGTTTCTAAACAACTACAAGACCGACAGAGTGAAGCATCTTTAATTACTGGTTTTGGTAAAATTTTCCAAAAGTTCCTACTCCGAAATGAAGCACAGTAGACAATCAAAAAAAGAATTTTTTTAACTTTCTAAAATGTCAGGGTTGCGACTGAGACATTGGTCTTCCTCTTCCTCGTCACGTGCAACAAGATAGCTGATAACCCTAAATGTACCATGGAACAAAAACCAGTTTCGACTAACATAAATGTTAATCTAAAAAACTAGAAATTTAAAAAAATGGGGCTAACCTCAATTGGAATCTGAAAAACAATAGAGGATATTGTCTGTGAACAAAGTATTAAAAAACTGGTGTTGGATTGGAGCGGGGCACAATTAAAAATGGCATTTAAATATAAATTTTTGGACCAGAAGCTTTTTTAAAATGAGAAAACCGGCCAAATTTGGAATGTAAATACCTATCTGTGGTCACGTTAGATTAGATAAGAATGCACAAATATCGCAAAACGCATTCAAAGCACACCTTTTGAAATGAAACAATATTATTATAACATTTCAAACGTGACTAAACTGTAAAGTTTACACATCAGATTTAAGTTGTGTAGTTTTAAATTTATAGAAAGTTAAAGTAACTAGCAATTTCCTTTTACGTTGCTGTTACCTGTAACTTTAAAGACGACGAACGGTTTGGTATTTTTATATGCGTTCACTACTTGAATTTCAAAGAACTTAAAATGCACCTATAAGATGCTTGTTGACCTGTAATTGTAATTGGTGCATTTTTAAATGACGGTTTAAAATGTAATACTCACTTTGGTATAATTAAACGCCTAATCAAGTTACAACGGGATATATTTTGTTTAGTCCATTCACACAGAACAACAACGCTAGAAACACAAATACACACTAACGACAGAAGAGCAGAACTACTGACTGTCTGATTATGACGATACCATTAGTTAGATAACCACCTACTCTGCATCTGCACACAAAAAACAGGTAGTTATGCTGCCGACATCTCTGGACGTGCTGCTACAACATAATATTCCTTTCATTTGTGTAGGACGGTAACATTCGGTTAGGCAACCAACAGTTCAGAATTCGGAAACGCGGCGTTTTCGTTCCAAAAACGAGGGAGGAAAGTGTTCGTATGGTAAATTTCGACCTTTTTTAAGCAGGACGATTACAGTCTATTAATAAGCATATTAGCTACAACTTTTCCTTTGCAACTTTTTTCTAAATAGAAGACGAGATAGAGGTTTGAAGCGGTATGATGGAGGGGGCAGATGAAGGAGATGCAGAGGATGCGTAAAAAGGTCATAAAGAAGGTGTAATGCCAATGTAATGCAGGGCAGGAGGAAGAAGATTTGAAAGAGCAAAAAAAGTTTGAAGGGAGTACGAAGTACTACAAAAGGCGAACCAGCGTGATCAGATGTGAAAGAGCAATATGATAAAGGCGTGGAGGAAATCTCTGAGAAGTGTAAATGAAATGTGCGGGGTGCGCACATACATAAAGCATCAATAAAGTGTGGGGGAACTGTGAAGCATTTGAAATCCATAGAAGACGTAAAGAACACTGGAATCAGGAAACGTAAAAAACGAAGAAATTGGAAGAGGCAGACCCTTCGGCGGTCACGGTATGGGAGTGGATGGAGGGAATGGAACTCAAATTTGTAAGGGCACAGATGGCGGGTAGATGCAAATTTCATCAGTTCTGCGTGACCCTTGGAAGTAGCGTCAATCAAAATGCGACCAAGACGACAAGGCGCTGCAAAGAATGATGTGGAATTGAGAGGGCCATCGAGCAGCGATAAACGGGGTTTTGTACGGACATACGAAGTCCGGGTGGTTACCACTAGATATACCTAGACGAGAAAAAGGAGAGCCTCGACAGATATCAGCAAGGACTATCCCAGAGTGACGACCGCATACTGTACAGCACGTCAGCACCCATCCTCCTACTTGCGATAGACAGCACCACTCCTCTGGGGCTACTGATTGAGAAGAGAAGAACAGGGAGAAGCGGAAGGGGCACGCTGGACGTCTAGCAAGGGAAGTAGGGAACAATGCCCTTGCTGGACTTGAGCCGATTGCGAAGACGAGGTTCATACCAGCGTTTGAGTATCCCAGATGGGTTCACCGTTGAGGACCGTAGAATATATGAATCAACCCGGAAAACATCGTGCCTCTGATTCTAAAAGTGAGAGCTACATATATGAATGGTTATGGGCACGAGGGAGAAAGAAGCGAGAACTGCTAGCTGACGAGCCACCAGCACGAGCCACTAAGAACACGACGGTGACATATCAACTAATAAAAGTCGCATTGGAAGGATGGATTGATCCCAGATGAATACCATGCGATGCCCAGGTCGGTTTCATCAAATAGGCGTAAGGGTCACTTGACCATGACTTCTTAAAAAAACAAAAAATTAAAAAAGCAGGCATTTATAGAATGTCTGCATAAGGTTTGAAGCAAGCATAACGAAAGTATGGTGAATGTAAGACAATTACAAGGAAGATTTGACATATGTGAAGAATCAGGACGATTTTAAAGGACCCGAAGGAAATGTAAAAGTAGCAGCGTGATGAGGAAGGCTTGAAGGGGACTTAAAGAAACCACGAATAAAGCGTGAATAGAGAAGAATATGCAAGCGTGAATAAATGCCTGAAAATATGTATGAACGAGAGTTGGGGGTGAAATCGATGTGAAAGAGCATAGTTAGGGCAAAAGGGGACAGAGTGCGAAAGAAGTGAGTAGAGAAATGTGCTGAATATCGAAACAATAATTTCAGACCTCGTTTCAAACTAAGTGGAGCAGAGCTGAGAAATGTGAGGAAGTTTTAAAAAGGACGTAACGAGACAACAAGGAGACGACGTAAAAAATGCGCAACGAAGTTTTTAAAGAATGCGTGATGTAGATGTAGAGGAAAAGGGAAGAGGTGAAAGATTCTACGCGTCGATGAGTTATTAATGGCGTGAAAGAGATGCAAGGTAGTGAAAGTAATGCAGATGATTGAAGAAATGCTTGAAGCAGGCGCAGTGGCGTAACTACAATGCCTCAAAGGTACGCAATGAGGACGGGCCCCGACTTAAAAGGGGCCCCGGAAAAAAATGTACAAAAATTTAATTCGTGTATACAAAATTCTGAAAAAAATTGAAAAAGAAACGAAGGGCCATGCACATGCTTACTTTTACAGTTTATAGTTACAGTCCGAAGAAAATTCTGAATCATGGTTCACGGAGGGTAAATAAATAGCATTCCGAAGTCTCTTACATAAAGTACATGCAATACTTTGTTAATTAGCGGGACCTTCTCCAATCCAGAAGGTATCTGGAGGTCCTGAATATAGTAACCTTAGACTGAAGTTGTATTTCGAGATGAATGCCGCTAAGTAATTTTAACACTCCAGCATTTACCTCTGCACGGAGTAACAGACATTTATAAAGGGCAGATTCATACACAAAGAATTGAAATCGCTAATCAAACTAAACGAGTTTAAACATTGAAGGAACTGGCCAATATTAAACAAATCAAAATAAGGATAATATTTTAAGTGAAACAATTAAATAACAAACAAATGCAGGGGTTACGCATCCCTAGTTACAAATAGTCACAATAAAACGAAGAGTTATAAATAAAATTAAGTACATTATTACCTTTTGTTATGGCACAAATACCACACAAAGCTTGACAATTAAAGTTCGAACAAAATCAACTGGATTCTGACTGAACGCAGTGACGCAAAATGTTACAATGGACCTGTGAACCAATGAATTACAAAATGCAAAATCAGTAAAGCTAAATCAAGACACTATTTTCTACATATACAGATTAACATCGTTTAAAAATTGTTGATATAAGCAAAGGTAACTTACTATTTGATATAAGGAAAGGGCCCTCAAATATTTATGAAGACGGGCCTCTAAAATGAAGTTACGCCACTGAGCAGGCGACGGGAACAAGGCGTGAAAGGATGGTAAAAACGAGAAGGGAGACATAGGAAAAATATGTGCGAGGTGCATGCGTGAAGCAGGAAAGAGGGTAAAAAGACGTAAGTGTGAAAAAAGCTTTAAAGAAGCGTAAAGGCAACGTGCGGGAAGGAGGGGTGAAGGAGATCTGAAGTAGTGAAGAAAGCAAGACAGCAACAAGCCAACCCGAAGAAGAGAATCTCGCCGATCTACGAGACTGATCATTACCGGATTCAGTCCCACCTACGCCACCGCAAGATTCGGCCACTACAACGCCAACTGCGGCTTTGCACCCCGATGCGTATTCGTTGTGCTAAAAACCACCTAGCGTCGGACTGCGAGAGGAAGCAGGAAGAAAGAGCAACTTGCGAAAATTGCTCCAGAGCCGACTACCTTGCAGCGACGGTCGAACGACACAGATGCCTACCGCAGTCCACGCAACAACTTGGTGCCGCAAGCCCTCAACATTATGGTACTTGCAGACCACACAATTCTTGCAGGAGACCTACGCACGGAACACCCCAACTGAGTCTCCGCGACTTCCACCTAGCCGGACGATTCTAGTACTGCGATACAATGTCATTGCTCCTGACCACCCAATGCACATACCTGGCGACCCTGTCCTCTAGCCATACACTCTCGGCGTTATGGTATTGCAGGCGATTCTGTATCCGTACGAGTTCGACGTTGTTTAGTATTGGAGCTCAGACCACCTTCGCATCATAATGACTCTCCACAGGAATCCGTCCGAGCACCAAGAAGATCACAAGTTGGAAAAGGTTTAAGGAACATCTCCAGCGAAGTATCCCATCCGGACATACGCGCCCAAAACGCGAGCAAGCTCCCCCAGTATCTCAAAAACGAATCGGAGAAAAAAGGATACTTGTTCGGAGATATGGGGCAACTCCCCTGAGATCCGGATACGTTGATGAAACCATGACCCGATGGGGGAAATTTTCCCAAGTCGGTCGTGCGCTTACCTCCAGAAAACCACCGGATTATTCTCTGAGACGCCCTAACGGCAACCGCTACGACACAAGGGAAAAGGTAGAACTCTTCGCCGAAACCTTTCGCGAGAACTTCGTCACACCCTGTCCAAGACGAGGAACACAACACAATAGACAAGTAGAAGAAGAACTCCAGAGACTTCTCGCTTTCGTAGACAACACTCTACAACCCTACACTGGAATGGGCGGGCACCATATATCCAGTATCTCGGAGTCACAATATCGAGACCGGCGGCGTGTCAAATATTCGCTCAACACGGCGAACACTGTTGCCAAAGCACGACTATATATCCCCTGTTAACATCATCAGCGCGGGTGCCAAAGACGAAGATATATCTGTCTCGGGTACCAACACCGCCGTCCTGGAAGCAGTGCCGTCCATCGCGCTTCGGACAATAAGAAATCAACACCATCTGGTAGGACCTCGTAGACCACATCCGATCGCTCGCCGAGAAAATTCACGACAGAATGGACAACTCCGACCTCTAACTCATACAAAACATCGCACCCGTGACGGAAACACAGCAGCGAAAGAAGAAGTGGCCCAGGTTGGTACGTGCTGCAGGAAACTAGAGAAAACACGTCCATTTCAGTTTTACCAACCGCGTCAGCATGGATGACGCTGGCTGATTCATTCCGTGCCTACCAACCCAACTGATGACTGTGGAATCAGAAAAGCTTCAAGCAGGGGAAGCTCTATAGTAGAGCTGCTGAAATATGGATGGCCGCCAGCTCCAATCACGTTTTTGCAATACAATATGGATACATACATATATGCAGCAATACATATTACCTAGGTGCAACCAAAGAGTATATGGTGCAACAGATCTGAAGGTATAGCAACAAAGAACACCGCCACCACCTTTCTAAAATTAGGTTTGTGCGTTATAGATAATCAAAATAATTAAACCTTATTTAATACGATAATTGCTAAATTATACACTAAAATAACACACCTAATTTTTTGCGCAATTGTTTTTGGCATCACTTCATTTTAATATAAACCTTTTCCTTTTTCTGTGAGAAATTTATCCCTACCATTGCATATTTATAAGGAAGTGATGGAATTTATTTAAACTGATTAGTTACCATCCACAATAAAAATGAAGGTGTTTTGCTTTCTGTGTACTCTATTTATTCTGGCCAATTCACAGGTTCTTCCAAAATACAACTTGCAACTTCTAAAATTGTTATTTTAGTTGAGGGATGAAGTAAGAATAGCCTGTGGGAAGAGGAAGACGAGCAATTCCTTGACGAATGCGTCAAGGAGACAAACGTTGATCCGATGATTCCCAAAATGATGTACCGTAATTTACATTTTCCCAATGAGGAATCATTTCATTGCTACATGAAGTGTCTTTACGATCGTCTGCATGTACTCACTCCTGATGGTAAAGACATTAACGCGACAGTGCTCGCCACGTCACCGTTTATAGGTTTAGAATTGGCACAAAAATGTGTCGAAGAAACTAAAAAAGAGACAGATATTTGCATGAAAACGTATGTATCTACTGTATGTCTCGTTGAGCATAATTTGAATAATTGATAATAATATGTGTTTAAAAATATTGTTAGCCTGAAAGTTTAGATAAGCATATATAGATTAATAAATAACTATTACTGACTCATTTTAGGATGAGCTGATTGATATTTAAAGGCTATAAATACAATGTTATTTTTATTAACATGAAATCTGGTCATTTTGTTAGGCATTATGAAAACATCATATAATTCTTTGGTACTTTTTACAAAAACCATTTCCTTGCGAGTTATTCAGTCGTTCTCGTTGTGCCACCCTGTACCTGTACCTGTATCTATTAAGCAGTGTAAACCTGGGCACGTTAACTCAACAAACCTTTGAATGAGTTTCCTTTTTTATGCTGCCGTAAAGGATTTTGCACCTATCCCAAATAGGTCGATTCCGTTGGACTCCTAAAATAGTCTTATGTCGGGGGAGCGGTTCGGGAGTTTTCATTTTTACATACAATTCAGTTTTTTTTTAAATTACAATATGCTTATTTGCGTCAAAAGAAATACGACACTGTCCATTTAAATTTAAAAAAACTGATTTTAAAAGCCAAAACACTTTTTTGCATTTATTAACAATTATTTAATTAAGTAAGTACTCAAAAAAGTATACATGCATTCTTTATTATTCAGACATAAAGATAGGTAGTGGTTTGCGACACGCATCAATGCATTTTCACACATAAGTTTTAACTAAATAATCTTTTACTTATTTTCTGTAAGAAATTTATTGCAACCATTGCAAATTTACAAGAAAATGATGGAATTTGTTTAAACCGACTCGTTGCCGTAAACAATCAAAAGGCGTTTTGCGTTCTTTGAACCCTACTTGTTCTTTCAAAAACCAACTTACAATTTCTAAAAGTTTTATTTTAGTTAAGGGATGAAGTAAGAATAGCCTGGGAAGAAGAAGACGAGCATTTGCTTGACGAATGGGTCAAGGAGACAAACGTTGATCCGATGATTCCCAAAATGATGCAGGTATCGAAATTTACATTTTCCCAATGAGGAATCATTCCATTGCTACATGAAGTTTCTTTACGCCCGTCGCTGAATGTAATCACTCCTGATGGTACCGACATTAACGCGATCGTGCTCGCCACATCACCCTTTATAGGTTTAGAATTGGCACAAAAATGTGTCGAGGAAGCTATTTGCATGAAAACGTATGTATCTACTAGGTATATGCTTCAGTCAGTTCCAATTTCAATGTCCAAATAATAAATATTGTATACTGTGCTTTTTTTGCTTCTTAAGGTTGCTGTAAATATTTTGCACATATCCCAAATAGTTCGATTCCATTCGATTCCTAAAATTGTCTAATGCCGGGGCAGCGGTTCGGAAGTTTTCTTTTTTACATACAATTCAGTTTTTTTTAAATGACAATATGCTTATTTGCGTCAAAAGAAATACGGTACTGTCCACTTAAATTTATTTAAAAAAAAGATTTTAAAAGCTAACACACGTTTTTGCATCCCGAATTAAGTCAACTTTATTAATCATTATTCAATTGGGGACTCAAAAATGTATGCCTGTATTCTTTATTCATACTCATACATAAAATAGAGTAGTTTGACAGGCATCGCCGCATTTTCACAGGTTTAAATATAGACCTTTACGTAGTTTCTGTGAGAAGTTTATCGCAACCATTGCACATTGTAAGGAAATGATGGAATTTATTTAAACCGACTACAGTTACCGTCCACAATCAAAATGAAAGCGTTTTGCGTTCTGTGTACTCTATTTATTCTGGTCAATTCACAGGTTCTCCCAAAACCCAAGTATTACAATTACTAGAATTTCTGTTTTAGTTAAGGGATGAAATAAGAAGAGCCTGGGAGGAAGAAGACGCCCCCTTCCTTGATGAATGCGCGAAGGAGACAAACGTTGATCCGCAGATTCCAAAAAAGATGTACAAGGATTTACATTTTCCCAATGAGGAATCATTTCATTGCTACGTATGGTGTCTTTACAACCGCCAGAATGCACTCACTCCTGATGGTAAAGACATTGAGGTGGAAGTGCTTGCCATGCACCCGTATGTCGGTTTAGAATTGGCACAACGATGTGTCGAAGAAGCTAAAAATGAAACAGATATTTGCTTGAAAACGTATGTGGCTACTGTATGCGCCATTGGACATCATGCGTAGTGATAATGTGTTTTAAAAATTGTTAGATTGAAACTTTAAATAAATATGTACCTACCCTCGATTAAGACATAAGTATTATGCTCGCCAGGACAGAATGATGGTCTATAAAGAAAGATAACCTGTACGCGCGCCGACTCCCTTAAAACAACTTGACAAATTTTATTATTACACTCTTACTACTAATAACTAAACAGTAAACGAGGGAATGCTGCCCATTTTATATCAATTATTAATGACCATTTCCACTTATATTGGCCTTCAGATTTGTCATAATTATAGACGATGTTATTTTAATAATCCAGTGATGGGTAATAACACTTTCGACATAATGAGGAAATCCCCCCAGTATTCATCACTGTTTACTGCGCATCTAGTGAGCGGGCTTACACTGAAATTCTCATGCCTCTTCGAGGAATAAACGAGCAGTACATAGGCAGTATAAAAACACCATATAAATCTTTGGTAATTTGAACTTTATCTACAGAAAAATGTATAGCGTTTACAGTTGTATTGCTTAAGTTTAGGTAAACACTACATTGGTAAAGCATTTAGTTTAGTAGAGTCTGATTTACATTTTGTCGATGAAGTCACGCAAATAAGTCCCTTACACATCTATCAATAAAATAAATTACACTATTTTGTACTTCCCTCCACTATAATGATATAAATTTGTATTATGCTATCTGGCAAATCTTTACAATTTATCTACTACCACAACCTCATTTGCATAGTGTTGTATATACAAGATGGGGCACCACATGCATGTTTTAAGACAAATCCCTAGTTCAAAACCACCAAAGCATGTGAGCTAAAAGATAAAAATAGTATCTATGTAAAAATGGAACGCAACTTTACAGGCAACATATTGCAAAAGGGCTATTTGTAATTACATAAATTAATCTGAATGTTTTCTTTATATCCACAAACTTGTAACATCTATACTCGAGTCCCACATATGTTGGAAATTAGAAAGTGGTTGGGGGCTCTAATTTTATTGGATATAAAGGTGATATGCAAGTGTCGGAAAAAAACAAATTTCATTTTCTATACAGACACAAGATGCCCCATCATATATACCTAACTTTCTTAAATATGCACTGTAGATAATACTATTAGTCCAGTCAAATGGTTTTGGAAAAAAAACAAAAAGAGGACTTTTGCATTGATGCTCTTTTATGGTTGTTTGACTACAGCCACACATTCTATTTTCCCAGGCTATGTTATGAGCCATACCTGTAGGTCAGACAGTTTTGACCCACATCTTTGTTAGAGGTTTGAACTTATATGTTACGGTTCAATCTATGTACCTGACAGTTAATTACCATAGAAATAAATATGTTCACCTAGCCCGTCGCACCTGACTTTACAGTTCAGGGAACAAAGGGCAATGCAATTCTTATGGGAGTTTTTGCGCGGCGATACCGATTTTGATTTCCAATGTGAAAAGTCATTTTAATGCGTTTGCCCACGTTCAAATTCTGGAAGTTGATGAGATATGGGTATAAGGTCGAAAGAGCAAAAGCGTGATGTGCTGAAGAGGTGAAGCTAATTGAGATTCTTCTCAGAATGGCTGCTATGAATGGTGACAATAGTTTCAGCTCCACTACCGTCAAAATGTGGTCAGCACAGTTCTTTTTTGGGATACCCTTTATATGATAATTCCATACAACTCTTCATGTATTAACACTATTGTTATTTCGTACTATTTTCTTACAGTGGATCGCGGAGATGTCGTGTATCTATTTTTTCCCGTTCCCGCGATGCTTTCGAAGTACTTACACCTTTAAAGAAACCGACATTCTAAATGTCAAGGCTATATCTGCCATCGTTTCAACTGTAAAACGTAAAATCTCGTTTTTTCCGTTCCCGTGGGAATTTCGGGAAGTGTTTTACTAAATCAGAAACCTTCGCGGGCATACGTTAAAATTCAAAAATATCCACCAAGCTTTTTAATTATCGCCTAATGAACTGAGGGTTATTTTCATGTTTAAAGGATTTCCAGATCCCAAATGGCGCTGGGAGTCGAATCTCTTTTTCGCTATAGGTACGTATGTCATCTTGTGGTAGGAATTTTGGGAAAGAATCATAAAATCAGAAGGATACTCCTACACTATCCATAAATCAATTAAAAGTTAGTTTGCGCTAGATCATACTGTATGTACTTAGACATAAAAGGACAGAACCGCGCTTGCGCAGCTGCTATCTCTGCTAGTCACAGAAGATGTTTTAAATTATGTTTTACGCTCCGTATGTTATAATTTGAATCTCAGCAAATGTGGCGTAGTAAAACACAAAAGAGCAAAACTGCAAAGATTCTCCAAACCTGTCCGTTATTATTTTTGACTAGACTATACAGTAAACTAGAAATTTAACAAATTATCAACATACAGTATGTTCCGAGTCACGTATAGTATAGCTTAGTATATCACATCTTGGCATGCTACGCTATGCCTCAAAAGCATATTTCATAACTTTGACTATTTATTTGATGAAATACGCTCACACTAAAATCAATTAAGGCTTTGTTAGCGCTAGATCATACTGTATGGAGGTGCCCAAAAACATGACATTTTTTTTAACAAGCGCAATTACCCATTTCAAGTTAGGTTTCCTATCAAATTACTTCATTTGAACCGCACAGATTAAATGAAGACTAGATTGTTCACAGCGTTCACAGTGCACGAGTACCAAAACTACAAACTGCAGTAATTGTAGTTATCTGTCAACCAGCTTGACCTAGTGCAGTAGATGCCCAGCTACGGCTATGATTACGATGGTTTTTGTGTAAATTGGGTTGGGTTGACAGAACAGTCTTGAGTGAAATTTCCGCCACTTAATAAAAAAAGCCTAATATAATACATTGCGTTGTAAACAATTTTCAAAATGTCATGTTCATGTAATATTGGCCTAAAATTTTCAGTCAAAAAGTTGAATAGAACTTTACCCTTGTTTTCCTTAAACATAAAAACAAATTGCCACAGAATTAAAATTAATATCACCCTTTTGGAATTGTATTAAAACATAAAACTCCAAATGTGTACTTAAAGCTCAAGCAAAGAATACTGCAGAAGGCAAAAAAATAGAATGCAGGGCACTACTTTCTGTAAGTGTATGGATTTATCACCCTGTACATAGACCTAAAGAAACAATACTTTCGGTAGAGGAAGAGCAATTTAGCGCTGACTAGAAGTGCAAGGTAAAGGAACAATTTCTAAGATATTTGTTCCCAACACTTGCTCGCAAACTAAATCCTTATCCAGCATAAGAGAATTTATTTGATCCTCATTCAGCATGTCGACGCTAAAAGACGGAAAAATGTAAGTGGAAAAATTAAACACGAGCACTGATACCTTGCCAAACTTTCTGTGTCAGAGGAGTCGTCTTCCGCTGTTAGGTAATTAGCAGTTCGTTCTAAGGGGCTGGGTAACTTTTTTGAACCGACCTTACCTTTATCTTCGGTAATACCGAGTTTTGGCTCACTATTGCGCCTCTCGGTTAGCGAGCTAATATTAAGCATCATCATTCCTTGTGAAAAGATCTCCTTTACCTTTTCGCCGGTTGGGCCTAAAATATTGTCCAAACTTTGACGTCGACCTGAAAATTGCCACTTGAAATCATTTGTTCACTTTTTTTAGAATTGTTACTATAAAGCTGAATCAAAAGGTTAACCATGGTTTCAAGATATCTGCCTCTTTGAACATAGATTGGAAAGCTAGATTCTGCAAAATGCTCATGGTGTTCCTCAAAACGCCCAAATAGCGCGGGCGGTACAATAAACTATGAGCTACTTCACTTTTGGAAAGGAGGGGGTATTAATCTCTTAATTGTTATCAAAATGCACCAATTTGTGAGAGAACCGGCCTGACAAATGTAAGAACAGCTCTATATAGATTCTTCATGGTTCTCAGACAGGTCTTGATTGGCTTAGGGCACGCACTTAACAAATGGTTAACCCTTTGCCTTAAATAATGAGATAGTTTAGTAAAGCCTTACTAGAATTGAGACAATCTGCATCGTTTTTCGCCGATGATCTCGTTATCCAATTAGATATGGACGAGTCCAACTTCATTTTCGACCGTATCGAACTAAATTCGTGCTCAATCTTCGGATTTGGCAAAGTCTTCTGCCTCACCAACTTCGGTTTATCGTCTTCATTGTCCACATCCAACCTTTTATACGGTAAATCTTCCTCCGGACTTGACACGTCGAGATTAATCTCGGTCCATTCGTTGGAGCGACTATTGTGAACTTCGCAATCGGATTTTTCGCTTTGTGATATGGGCGACATGGACGAAGAGCCATTTCCTAAATTTAAGCTTTTGTAACCTTCTACGTCTTCCATTTTATTGCTTATTGGCGATAGAATATGATTTAATTTGCTAGGAAGACTTTTGTATTCGTCTGCGAAGTGGTTGCTTTCGGAAATCTGATTCGCCTGATGGTGATTCGTCATCGCTTTTGTCGAATTTAGAATCGCGTTTGATTTATTTCGTGATTTGTGTATCTCGTCAGATATTTGTTCTAAATTCCGAAGAGCGTCCGCGTAAGTCAGTTTCGAAGAAGATACTAGTGAATCTAAATGTTCAACCTTCATTTTTTGATGTTCCAGCATTTGGTTAAATTGAGCTTTCATTTCAAAGTACGGTCTAGAAAGATGTCACAATTAAATGACAATTTGCGATTACGCAAACAAATCAATGCGTAACTAAGGAGGAAGTCACTAGCGTAAATTTGGTGTACCTACACTCAGTAATTAAAGAGGGGGTCATTCGGTTGTGTAAAAGTAGCAGATGAAGTCTCTCAGCAATCGAGGAGAGATCGCAAGATTTCAATTGGAATAGTTTTCTTATTTCGAATTATAAGATCAGCTCAAGACATGTAAAGTTATTGTGTAAAATTTTACGACCAGTTCTTCAACGGAGGAGGGTTTAGTAAAGTTGCGTTTTAATATACACAAAGGATTCCTATTATACACTAAGCAGTATAAGTAAATTAAAATTCTTTAAAGCTTTATTTCGAACGCGAAAATAAGTGTGATGACTGAACGCATACATCAATACGAGATAAAAAAAAGCGTTTCGTCGTATTCGAGACGCAGTAAATAAATATCACGAGATACGCGTATATTTAAATCGTCTTAAGTGGTGAACTTGAAACTAAAAAACTGTCAACATTTCAACAACAAACTAAATTCAATGGGTTCCATTCTTGGAGACGTCGTTATAAAGGTATTTTTGGTGCAAGTGCTTACTGAGGATTTTCTAAGAATACTAAACAGTAACAAAGTAAACTGAGCACACAGATCAAAGCATGAGAAATTAATTTCCACTTACAAATAACAGGCAAACATCCCTTGTAATCAAGAAAAATTCCCACTTGAAGTATTACCTATTAATTACCAGAAGAAATCGGCGGGTTTCCAAGTGCACTTTTCCTGAAAAAAAAACATCTGATACCATCTGTATTATAACCATCCAGTTGTTCCTAGAGCTTCTATCCATTCCATGATCGACAAGACTTGTAGTCCAAGGTTAGTTCTATTATTTTTGTTTATGAACTAATGTAAAAATGTAATTTAGAATTAAATATTGTTGTAAGTGATTTTTTATTCAACAATTTCAATACAAGAATTTGCAAAATTCAAAGGTTCATTTTCTTACTGAATTTATTTGGTAGAAAGTAAAGAACTATTTATTATTAGAAATAATTAACGAAATTATGAAACTATACATTACCTGCATATAAATAAAGCGAGTGGTCAACTGTCAAATATGGTACACTGGTTTAACACTGCTTTAACAGAATTAAAATTGTCTGGAATAAAAGTCTGGAATAAAAGGCGTATTCTTCAAAAAAAGGTGTCTGGGTTTTTGTCTTTCAAGATAAGCGAAGAAAGGAACCGTGTATCTGTATGCTGTTTTGTTAGACGGCAGACAAGGTTAACCTTTAAAAGAGTAAGCACATATTACATGAGTGCGAAAAAGTGGCTATAAAAAACGTACTTATTAAAATTCAAAAGCTGCCAGAGAGACGAGGTAATACCATAAAGACTATTAAAGCAAAATTTTAATTTCAATACAGCAGAACATTGACGTTTTATTCCAATGCATAATAATGATATCGCCTTTTATTTTTCGAAAAATTGGAGCCGGTTCGAAATACGTATGGACATCGGAAATTGGAATCAATTGCAATCCGAAAGCAATCTAATCCATGTCAGTTACTGTAAGTTGTTTTGAATATTTTGCATTACATAAATTGCTGGCCGGTTATTTTTAGGAATTTTGCATATTGAATTTGAGTAAAGTAACTTTGATGTTCCTAAAGAAATCGACCTATGGGAACCATTTGTATTAAAAAAAACGGTATTGTATTTCATTCATAGACAAGAAGTACACACAAGCAAAATAGTTTGGGTATTTTGTTTCAGTGATTGGGAATTTTGTTTAGCATTGAGAAGGCGTTGCATATTTTGAATAGGGGAATGTACCAATAACTCATACAGTAAAGATAAAATCTCGGATAAAATATTCAAATTAAATAGGTACATGTGATCACGAAGTATAGGGATTGCATTTTTTACATATTTCTTTTTATGGGTCAAAATACTGTATTGTGTAAAAAAAGTGTAAAGAAAAATGGAACTCGATCGCCTTTGTGTTTATTAATATACGCTATTAATATACCCTAACCGCCCACCAAAATATGATTTCGATATAGCTCTCTGAACTATGGGGCAATTAATATTAAGCTTGCATTCAAACCAAGTATAATGAAACTTGACGAAATATAAGCCTTTGATCGAAGTACCAAAATAACCCACGCATCAATTGCCAAAACATGATTCTCTGAACTGAGCGAAGGTCAGATGCCAAATGTAACTGTCTGGCATACGTGTCCCTTTCTCCTCTCCCACTTGTATGTAAAAATCTTCCCAACAATTATTGAGAAATTGCATTTCTTAGTTTAATCACGATTGAATGTGTGCCATAATGGTCTACACCTTTTCCACTTTTATTCGAGAAGTTGTAAATTGTATTTGAGAATTGTTACTTGTATTTGAGAAAACGTCAAAGTAGATGAGAATAGTCAGTTGGATTTGAGAAAACATCAAATGTATTTGAGAATAGTCAATTGTATTTGAGAAAGTATCATTTAATTTTATTGTATTTCAGAATGTAATATTATTCCTAATGAATTATAATTAGGAATCCAATTTTTATAATTCCGCTACTGTATGTAGTCCCGCAACAGCAGCAGCAGCATCAGGCTATGTTATACATGTGATTTTGTTATTGATTCTCAAATACTTAATTTTACCATTTCTTGAATACAATTTACTACTCTCAAATTCATTTGATGCCTTCTCAAATACAAATCACTATTCTGAACTACATTTGTTGTTTTCTCAAATACATTTTACTATTCTCAAATACAATTGATACTTTCTCAAATTAACTTGATAGTTTCTCGAATAAAAGTGGAAAAGGTGTAGTGGGGATCACTTGACGCTCATAGTAGCAGGGAGGGGTTTGAAAAAATCACGAAATATTACAAGGGGTGGGGGAGGGGGTGTAGTGTGATAATCGCGTGTATTTATTCTTTCGCTAAAAGGCGCCATTTCTAAACCTGAAACCTTAATGCCTATCTGGACATTTTGATCATGGTCCTAAATTTTTCAGAATTAAATTAGGTTATAGGTAGTAGGTACTTACTTGTATTTAAACATATTCTGAACATTTTAAAGATACCTTGTACTACAAAAAAATACACGTGATTGTAGGTACCCACAGTAGGGGGAGTTAGTCTTAAACCGCATCATGAATCATCACCAAGGAGGAGCGGGGGGTTATAGGTAATGCAGGAATATGCCAGTATTCCACAACTATCTTTAGAATGTATACCAAATGCCACAGATCAATATATAATTATCTACTCTTACAGTGCATAATAATATGCACTATTGCATTAAGTATTAAGGAACTTCAAGAAAATACTGGCATTTCAAAGGAAAATCCTGTGCGCAAGGATGAAAAATTGCATTTGAAACATTTTGAAGTATTTCACATATTATAGGGTACAAATTTCAGTAGCAAGGGCATTTTTTAGAGTACTTAATTTTTCCAGTGATTTCCCCCTCGTTTTGTAAACTTAAGAGTGTACAAACGAAAGTAAAAAACTACTTACAAAAAAATTAAATCATGTCTGTAGGCTAAACTACTCATAAGCATAAACGAACGTCGAATGGATAAACTAAACAGAAAAACGTGAAATAAAATTAAAAGTTGCCCGTGCATATTTAAGCTGACCTGCTTTTAGCAATGGCACGTTTTAATTCCTTTTGCAAGCTTTGCACCTTTGCATTTGCCGCCTCGTGCTTAACATACGCAATTCTATGCTCCTGGCCGGCAAGTGCGCGTTCTCTTTCGGCATCGTTAACCCTTTGCGTAGCGTGATTTAGCATTTCCTGCCATGCCGGATCTGTAAAAATCTACATCAAAAGACTGACTAATCGAAATGTGCTCCAAACCTAAAGTTCTACCACCTAACCCTTGCTCAGCTAAGTAGACCATTTCACGAGCGGCACTATGCGCACTATTGGCTCGTTCGTACCGCATAGCAGCGATTTGTGTCTGCTTTAAGGCTTCATTCGCACAAAAGCGTGCTTCGTAATAAGGCTTCGCCCGTTCCACGCACAAACCCAATTTTAATCTCAGCGTATCCACTTTCGCCGTGCTCTCACATAGTAACAACCTGAAAGCGGCTCGACATTCGTCCAACTCAACTTCCAATTTATTGATTTCGTCTGTGGCATTGTTTAACCGTTCCAATTCGATTTGTACCCTGGGATCAACCGTATCAACATATTCGGCACCATTCTCGCACATTCTATATTACAAAGGCGTATTGTCGATTTGTTATTGCGAAAATTTATTCAGGCCTAAACCTACTTAGCGATGTTGGTAATAAATAACGATTGTTTATAACTAAACACATTTTTAATAAATAAATAATGGGTGACAAAAATTATGTCAACACAGCCGTCACAGCTGTCAGCTGTCACAGTCAGCTGTTGTCTATTGTTGGGTAGTTTGGCCAATAGATGTCTGCAACGCATGTATGAATACAGGGTACCATAAAAGTTTGCGATTACAGTTAAGAAAAACTGGTGGCCTACACACAGGTACAAGTGAATTCAAAATAAATTCTTTATTACAAACGCAAACTTTGGTGATATCTAGGTTTTTTCGAACCTTAAGTTAGACCTCCCTTTCTAGGTAAATTTTCCTATGCATTTGGAAATTTAAAACATGGTGGCACTTCAGGAAATATAACTTCATTATTAATGAGCTTCTAGAGAGTTCATAATTTTCCGATGTCTGCCCGTCTGTCTCAAAAATGAATGGACCGATTAAAAATCCTTTCTTCCTTCCAAGCCTTTTTATATACTTGTGATGGTGATTGACCATTTTTCAGTGTTCTTATCGCCTCCATCACCTACTTCTCTACAGTCTTTCTTTCTCCATGGTTATTTGACCTCTCGTCTTTTTTCTCCATTCCTTCTTTTTTTTCTTCTTCATCCACTGGGGTTTTTTGTTCGTTAACAGTTCCTGAAAGTACTTTCTCCACCTACTCAATATACTGCTGACCGCTTTGTAATTTTTTCTCTTCGCTCAGCGATTTCAGTATTGGAAAGAATATTTTTTGGTTTCCCTTGCTGCCACTTTCGAGTTTTCTACCAAATTCTTGACACTCTGCATGCTTGGCTTCTCTAACTGTGTTCTTCATTGTGTCCCCTTGTTCCTTATACTTATTGTACGTGTCTTCTGATTTACTGTTTAGATATGTTTCCACCTCAGTTTCCTTATCTTCAGGGGCGGACTGGCCCGGGGGGGGCGGGTGGCGATTGCCACCTGGCCTGTACGTCATAATGGCCCGTTGGAAATTTATAAGTATGTGCTGTATTTAGTTTCTTGCACTATTAATAAGTTATTAACACGTTTCTCTAATTGGGGTTGATGTTAGGTTGTTAAAAAATTAAAAAATTCTGTTTTAATTGAAGTGTTTTACAATGAATTTATCATTTTTTGTCGTAGCATGAAAGTGATGAAATACAATGATAGGCGACGCGCCTCGTTTGGATTGTATATTTTGTTACTTTTAATTATCAGCTGCAATTTAAAAAAAACCTGTATTGTAATTGATTTCCGAAAAAGGAGTACTTTAAAATGAAGCAAAAAATGTTTTTGTGGTGCACCGCAGAGCTACCCCCCCGCCACCTTCATTACTACACTAATACTTTAATGGCCCGTAACCTATGCAATTCCACCTGGCCCGCCCCTGACTAGAAACCAATTTCGAAAGAAAATTCAAAGGGCTGTAACTTTTGAACTAGAAGCCCAATCTTGGAACTGTTTGAAATTATGGATTCTACAGGCCACATTCTATAAGAAAATTGTTTTCCGGGTCGATCTGAGACAATTTTTTTTTCAGGGCGCAAAAAAAGGCAGTGTATAACCTTCCTTTTTTACCAAAAATTGACTGCACCAAAATTTCTCGGGAAAACACTTTTTCTTATTAATTTTGGTGCGTAGAATCTAAAACAATTCGTACTTTTTCGATCGGACTTCTCAATCAAAAGTTATGGACTAGAAACCAATTTCGTAAGAAAATTCAAAGGGCTGTAACTTTTGAACTAGAAGTCCAATCTTGGAACTGTTTGAAATTATGGATTCTACAGGCCACATTCTATAAGAAAATTTTTTTCCGGGTCGATCTGAGACAATTTTTTTTTCGGAGCTCAAAAAAAGGCAGTGTATAACCTTCCTTTTTTACCAAAAATCGACTGCACCAAAATTTCTCGGGAAAACACTTTTTTTATTAATTTTGGTGCGTAGAATCTAAAACAATTCGTACTTTTTCGATCGGACTTCTCAATCAAAAGTTATGGACTAGAAACCAATTTCGTAAGAAAATTCAAAGGGCTGTAACTTTTGAACTAGTAGCCCAATCTTGGAACTATTTGAAATTATGGATTCTACAGGCCACATTCTATAAGAACATTTTTTTCCGGGTCGATCTGAGACAATTTTTTTTTCGGGGCTCAAAAAAAGGCAGTGTATAACCTTATAACCTGCTGTTCGTTTGATGTGGTTGTTTACCCTCTTTACTCCGCATGATTCGTCTGCTGCTGGTGTCAATATCGCTTTTATCTGCATTCCAATTGTCGCTTTTCCTTCCTTTCCAGTTTTCATTCTCTCAATCTTTCTTTCTATGATACGCATATAATTTTCTGCTATTTGTGGGTGTGATTTACCTTTTTGTATTCTTGTTTACTCTTATAGTTACATCTCTGCCCCTGCTTTTTATTTTTCCTACCGGTAGAGAGTGGTCGCTGAAGATTTCTGCTCCTGGCAGCTTCCAAGGCAAGGCACATTCCAAAATTGTAATTCCTATTTTCATGACAATACAAACAGTTCGTAAATAACTATAGGGCACTACTTAGAGCATGTTTTAGTATACACTGGCGACATGGTGTTCATTTATTTTCAAAGATATCAAAAAATAATTTTAACAAACCCTTGGTGATTGTTTCTCATCTTTCTACCTCAACTTTGTTATTTCTTATGGATGGATGGATTGGATTTTTATGTCACTAGATAGAGAAAACCAGTTACAAAATCCTTGACAGAATAGCTTCCTAGCTCGAAGCAAATATTTAACAAAAAAAAAGTGTTTGACAGTCTTACATCCTTTATGTCTAATGAACACTGCCGAAAGTCAAATTAATTTGCTGTATATGCCGCTTTATTACTAAACACTAAATTGTTTAAAGTCCCACGAGACCTCTTACAGAATTCAATGTTATTTGGATGTTATGACGTAACTGAAAATTGCTTTCTGTTTTTGCAATGTGCTCGATTTTCAGTCGTTTGTCTGTCTGTCTGTCTATTTGCTTGTTCCATCGAGACCTCAGACCCTGGGTCACCTAAAAACTTGGAATTTTCGCTAATTGATAGCTGCTGTGGTCTATATTTGCCCGTTACTAATCATTTACAGTTGTGTTACGCGACAACACCCACGAGGGGGTTTTGAAAAATTTGTTTAATTTTTGTTCATCTTTATTTATTGATTATATTTATTTTTATTTATTTTAATTTCACAAGGCATCATGTAAGTAATTATTGTAATTCTCAGTTTTTCATTAGGTCTTCCAAAGAATGATTAGTTTTTTTTTCTCAGTTTGTAATAAAATCTGGTACAATTGTTGTAGTTAATACATAAAAAAATAATGTATTTCAAATACCTTATATAAAAATTTTAAGTTGTTTTTTTGAAAAAAAAGTTCGATGCCGTTGCGCGCTCCAAAATGTTTTTCCAAAAATCCCGCCCATTAGTTTTCGTTTCTGCCTGCCTATAATATATATAATTTCAGGAATTGATCCTGGTCCATTTTCTGTCTCTGTCTCTTTCTCGGACTTTAGTCGAATGTATCAATGTTCATTCGCATGTAGGTACTCAAAAAACCATAGATGATCTTTTTTAGACCATTAAAAAAGTTATGGAATTCACCAAACTGACTTCGCTTCTTATTCAAAGGATGTATTGCCTTCTTCTTTTAATAGAGTACCACCCTTATACTAATACTAGTGTTAAATAAAATATCATCTTCGTCCAATGAAGGAGAACTCTGTTTCCTATACGCTGCTGTCAGTACTTGAAAATAAATTGCATTCAAACGTTAGGGGATGTCTAATTCTATGTGCGAGGCAGGGGCGATCCTACCGTACGTCGTTATGGCCATATAGAATTACTTGTCCCTCGATAGGTTTAACAACTATCGGCTCATAATTTCGTTTATTTATCGGGCAGCGCTTTTATTACGACATTTTTTGAAACATTCTCAGATAAACGGCGTAAAATAAATAGGTACGTTTTTACTAATACTTCTACTTATCCTATCCAAAATATAATTCTGGGTCGATCTGGATACCCAAAAATTTCACAGATAGCGAGTCGACATATAGTGGGGTCTAAGTGCAATCAATAAATTGTAGGAAGATGCAAATAATATATTTGAAGTTCATTATCAAAAGTTATCAGTTATAACTAATTTCGTAGGACTAAATATGTGCAAATTATCGATATTTTTGGATTACGAGACATACGCATTTTAATTGAGATATTTTCACTAAATGCTGTTTTTTTAATCCATATAAACGTATTTCATTTAAAAAAAGTCAGTTTGCCGTTTGAGAGCAATCGATCTAGTGTTCAAATAAAAGATTTAAGTTATTAAGCTATAGTCCTGAAAATAGCTGCAAAGTTTTCAGATTAAATGAGTCAGTTAATTTGGCTAGATATATTAGAGTTCAATTAATATAATAAATAAATAGTTACATATTTTTCGATGGAGCCATATAATTCTATTTTTGAGCTACAGTAATGTGCAGCCTTTGTTTGAACTGAGAGTATGTTTATGCGGAAAATTGTGGAGAGCAACGGGATCAAGTTTGACTAGACTAGAATACAAATCAACAACAAATTGCAGCATTTATCATAGCAAAGTCGAATAATTTAAACATCCTATAAAATTTATGTGATTTCAGTTCCGTATAATCGCATGATACACGATACCCTTTAACCTTTCAATTGCTCTAATCCACAATAAAATAGGGGTATCGTTAGAAGGATAGGTAATGCTAGGTTTCCAACCGCTTCGCCATGATCAAAACGTGCTCGGTACTGTTGTTGCTAAAAAGTTCGATGCAATGTACAGTGCCTAGTTTCAAAAACAACATAATAAAATAATAAGGTAAATTCCCTGAACTGCGCCTTCATGCTTTGCAGTTGAAAATTCTACCTTTAAATCGAATGGTGCCGGGTAAATTTAACCACCAATTGTTTGGCTTTCACCATTTACCTTGACTGTGTTCTTTTTGAAACTAGGTACTGTACATTGCATCGAAATTTTTAACATCAACAGTACCGAGCACGTTTTGTTCATGGCGAAGCGGTTGGAAACCTAACACTACGTATCTTTCCGACGGTACCCCATTTTATTGTGGATTTTATCATATTG